CATATGATTAAAGAATTGACATTTTTTATGTTGCAGACAGTTGTCTCTAATTTTCACACGTTGAGGAACGTGTGGCCTCCTAGAGATTTGATGTCTGAGCGCGAGATGGCGGGAGGACGTGGGCGTGTCCCAGCTGTGCCCTCTCGAGGCCGAGGAGCCGGTCACGCTCGTGGGCAGGCGTGGCGCGGCTGTGCAGGGCCGTGCGGCGCCAGAGCCTTCTCTGTGCGCTGCTCCGGGGCTTGCATCCTCCTCCACTACCTGCGGCCGGCGCTTGAGTTGGGCCCGCGTCTTCGTGGCCTCCTACCATCAGAGGGGAGTTGTTGTGGCAGTTATTCGGGTCCTTTAAGTCAAAAACAAGGCCTGGTGGGCAAGGTCTCTGTCCCCATGTGCACGGTCCGAAGGAGGCGAAGTGAGCGTGTGCGGGGCGGCTGCTCTCGCCCAGCAGTGCTGGAGCACCTGGCGAACGCCGCTGTCGGCGGGGAGCGAGGGCCCCGACCTCTGGCCGTCCCATGGACATGGTTTATTGCCAGCCGAAGTGACCCTTCCTTTCGTTTCCTGAGTGAGTTCCTGAGCCTGGGCAGGGCCCGGAGCGGGTCTGCTGTGCACACAGCCCCCAGCACCAGGCCCTCCCCGTCCCTTCTAGCTGCCGTCCTCGCCGCTGGAGGCCGCCCCTCCCGGGCGGTGGTGCGCATCCTGCACACGGCCTCCACGTTTGCAGGACCACAAGGGCAAAAGGATGACACTCAGCTGACACAGTGGACCTCACACACCAGGCGGGTCATCATTTGATTTTTACCAAATGTTAAAGTTTCTCTCTTTATTAGACTTTTAAAATGTGAGTTGTTGATTTGTGTCTTAGAAAATAATTAGTATTTGCCAAATCTATTGGTCATCCTTCAATCAAAATTTATATTCAATCAGCATTCATTGATCAATTCATCCCACAAGCACGTGGCGCCTCCTGCAGCCAGTGCCGGGGGACAAGGGACCAGCCCTGTAGCTGTCCTTGGGGGGGAGGCAGGGGGGTGGGTGAGGTCGGGAAGGTGTGGGTGCCGGGGAGCTGGCATGGGACGGGGCTGTGTGGGAGGTCTGCGTGTCCCATGGGGGCCCAGCACTCCCGTGTGCCCTGCAGCGGGGCAGGCAGAGGCTTCTCATCACTGTACTTGCATTGTTAGAATCCAAATACCCTTTATTTGAGAAGTAGAAGTTTCAACACCCTTTGCAGGGTTGAGCTGTGCTAACTGCAGTTTGCAGTGGGTCAGCCTTTTTCTCTGCCTCACCTGTCTCTCATCCTAGTTCCCAGTACCCCTCACCTGGGCCTCTACCTGGGAGGCCCCCAGGCCACCCTCCCCAGCAGGCAGAGGAACCTGTGAGAAACATAGGCCCTTCCCTCCCATGGTCAAGTCCACATAGCGCCAGTGCCCACAGCCCAGCCAGAACACTGGCTGTGCACTGCGGTCCTTTTGCCCTCTGCCACAGGGCCTTTGCACATGCGTGTCCTGTCTCCCAAGGTCAGTTAACTTCTGTTTATCCCTCAGTTTTGTTCAGCCTTTATTGCCTCAGGAAAAAAAGCTGGCAGAACGTGTTATGCCTCTCATGATGTAGATTATTTCATTTTATGGGGATCACCTCATTTATCAGTATAAAATATAGTGAGGTTGGTGACACCATTACCCTATTTTACATGGGAAACCTGAGCCAACCACGCCTAGGAAATGTGTGACCCCTTCCTGTCGTCTCCTCCAGCCTGGACACCGCCTGAGGCCTGGCCCGGTCCTTCCTGTGGTTGGTGTGTTTCACACGGTCTTATCTTTAAGTAAAGCTGGAATGCAGATGCAGCAGGGGTTGCGGCCTGGGCCCTGTTTCTGGCGCAGGTGCCCCTTTACGTGGCGTGGCTTGGTTCGTTCTGTCCCTGGTGGTGGCGTCACCCTGGCTGCAGTCTGTGGCATCTCAGCGCCAGGCAGGGTCTGTGCCCTCCCCTCCGGTTCATACGCAAGTGCGTGTTTCTGCCCTGGTGGACGCCACCGTGGCGCCTGGTCAGTCTGGACCCCCCGGCAGTGCGAGAGGGGCTTCCTTGCTCACACTTGCTGACACCACAGCCTCGGCCAGGCAGACGCCGACTGAATCCACAGCTAGGTAACTGGGAGGCGGGCGTTGGGAGCCTCTGCACAGGGCTGTCCGCACTCCCCTTTTCTTCCTGGTTGTTGGTCTTTTTCTTGCTGACGTGTAGGTATTCTTACAGAGAAGGAAAGCTAGCGCTTCGTCTCTGTGAACATATCGCCCCATAGTTTCCTGTCTTTGGGCTTGGCTTGCAGGGTTTCACAGGCAGAGGTGAAGCCTCTGCTGTCCACTTGCCAGTGTTGATTTCATGCCTCTGGGCCTGTGTCCCCTCCGGAGCCTTTCCTCACTCAGATGTTTCAAAAAATGGTCCCACGTTTTCTTCTAGTATTTCTCTAATTTCATTTTTATATTTAAATCTTCAGTCCATCCTGGATTGATTTTAGTGTGTGTTGGAGGAAGGGGCCCAACTTGGTCATTTTTTGAGTGTAATCTATCCCCCCTAATCTGACTCATGAATTCGCCGTGTGAGGCCCCTTTCTGAGCTCTGTGTCCTGTCCATGATGGGACGTGTCTGCTTCTGCACTGGTTCTGTGGGTTGAGATGTGCTGTGCTGTCAGGGAGGGCGGCCCCGCCCTGTTGCTCTTTTTGTTTTGTTTTTCCCATCATTTAGTATCTTGTTTTCCTCGTGAACTCTTACACTCAGCTTGTCTAGTTCTAATAACACCTCTCCTGGGAAGTGCGCTGGGGGGTGTGTTCATTTAGGGATTGCTCATGTCTGTGTTGCCCCTCTGTGTCTGGTTATTGGAGCAAACTCAGCATAAAGACCCCTGCCCCGGCGTGAGAGAATGGCCGTGCAAGTGAGTGTGCGTGCTTCACGCCCACACGCGTGCAGGGTGGAGCGCTTTCTGAGGGGCAGTCTCGCACATTGTCCTTTAAGCAAGGTGTTTCTGGACATCCCGTCGCCATGATGCAGAGCTGCTGTGTTCAGAGGAAGCCGTGCATGGCCGTGCTGTCCTTGGTTCTGAGCGGCACTGATGTTGCTGTCCCGCCGTGGTGTGTGGGCTGCTGCCTGCTCACCGCTGGCGAGCGCTGCCTCTTCCCCAGCCGCTCCTAGGCAGAGCTTCTGCTCGAGTCCCCAGAGGCTGCCGGCCTTCCCTGGACTCCAGTGGGTGCCGCTGGCCGACACAATCTGAGTGTTTCGTCTCAGAAAAGCATATACACAGCACGGTGGATTCAAAGAAACATTAAAATTGTGCTTCTCTGATGCTGTCATAGCTCCTTATGAGTCTTATTTTAATATTTTTTATAGCAGTTTAAAGTATTTAATAACTCTTTTTTCCTTTCTTTTTTAATCTAAATGCTTTTTGAGCTGCAACTGACCCCTGCCACGTGCAGTCCCTGGTTGTCAACACCGAGGGCAAGACAAGCCGGCTATGGGGTCAAATCCTAGCATTGCCTCCTGGGGTCAGGGGTCTGCCATTGTCTGGATTAGCAGCGTCTACACGTGACCTCTTTGGAAGCCCTCTGGCCTGGGCTGCAGGTGTGGTGGATGCACGTGTGGCCGTCAACACGTCCACAGACTAGGCTTGGCTGTGGGGTTTAGCGTGGCCTCCACCCTAGGGAGGGGTTGATGCTGCCTTACCCCCCCCCCACCCCTGTCTCTTTCTGCCTCTGGCTACTCGGCTCACCAATGGGTGTGTTTGAATGCTTGGCCTGGGGCCGGAGCCAGTTAACTGTGGCCTTGACTTGTTGGCGTGACCAGCTGGGTGGCTTACCCTGCACACTGGGCAGCAGGCAGAGGGCATTTGGTGCCTGGAGCAGACGAAGCAGCAAATCTGGAACGTGTGGCTAGCACTTCACTGGACTGCTGACGACATCTGTACGGTCATTGTCAGTCGGCTTTGCCCCCTGAAGACACAACAGGAGCCAGACCCAAAGCCCAGGGCCTCGTGACCACGCAGGCTTGGTCACCAGTGGCAGCAGGGCGTCCGTTCCTTCACTGTAGGATGGCCCGGGGTGGGACACGCTGGATTGCGGCACAGAGGTGCACCTGCGGGTGTGCGTGTTCCCAGAGCCGCGCTCACTCTGGCCTGTGCCTTCCTCCCAGGCTCAGGCCAGGCTGCCTGCTTGGGGGTGGGGATCCCCATGACACTGCTCACCCCAGGGGACAAGGGTGACAGATGGGTTTCCCAGGTGCCTCCTCTTGCTTGGGAGCTTGCTTAGAAGATCCTGGGAGCCAAAGGCTCATTAGTGGACACCTCAGGAGCTGGCCTCCTGGGGCACCTGTCGTGACATGTTCCCATCATAGTCACCCGTGAGTGAGCTATTGAGTTGACATGTGAGCCTACATACTCAAACGTGGACATCGTGCCTGAACCTTCTGCATCAAGTAGTGTCGATAAAGAGAAGGGCGCAGGCACCAGGGTGTGTGCTCCCTGGTGAGAAGGTGAGCACCTGCCCTGTGGACTCTGCGCGCTCCTCCCCCCACGCCGGGCTGTGGCACCTCCTGGGACCTTATGCACATGGAGTTGTGTGGCGCTCCATCCAGCCGCTTTTGCTCTGCAGCACATTGTAAAACCGTTCTTGCGTGCAGTTATGGTGTGTGCATGTTTTTGTCTAAGGTTACGTCCTTTTCTGTTTATCCCTGTGGCTGCAGTTTGTTACTGTTCAGGTGCGTATGCATGTGCATGTTGGGAGTGTGCACGTATGTGAGCTTTAGAGTGTTGTGTCAACTTGTGTGCACTGTGTGTGTGGAGCCACACGAGGCTGGGGTCTGTTTTGGTCCATGCCCTGCCCTGTGTCTGGGATGTCCTGGCGGTTGCAGGTGCGCAGCGTGTGTTTGTGGACCGAGCGAGTGCTGTAGAGAACAGGGTTGGTGTTGGGCCCCAGCAGAGCCCACGAGGGCGGGGGTGTAGGTGTCGTCTGTGCTGGTCCCGCAGAGTTGACCGGCGCTGACCTGAAGGACTGCGTGAGCAACAACAGCCTGAGCAGCAATGCCAGCCTCCCCAGCGTGCAGAGCTGCCGGCGCCTGCGTGAGAGGAGGGTTGCCAGCTGGGCCGTGTCCTTCGAGCGTCTGCTACAGGACCCCCTTGGTGTTCACTACTTCTCTGTGAGTAGGGAAGAGCCTGGGGCTGGCAGGGGTGGTCTGTGCTCTTTGCTGAGGCTGTCCCAAAGACAGCAGCACCCTGCAGCTCAGCCACAGGCCCTGAGTAGCTCGGTGCAGGTGTCTCCTCCTCCCCGCAGGGCCGAGCCAGGGTGGGCTCAGCCCTGCCTTCTCGGCCCATGCCCCAGGGGAGAACCCTGACTCTGCCGGTGCGCTGCCTGCCGGCACTGGGCCTTCCTGTAGATGGTGAAGCCAGATGTGTGCTGCCAGCTCCAGCTGCTGGAAAGAAATGTTTAGCTGTCAAGAAAACAGCTGGAATGCCAGAGCAGTGGTCCTTAAAGTGTCAGGCATCGTTAGGGTATCTTTCTAGGCCCTCGGGTGAAGCATCGAGAGGAGCCTGTAACCTCATGGTTTCTGTAGAAGGTAAAAATAAGAGAAGGGCAGGAGTGAAGAAATGATCAGCTCACAGAGAAGAGTCTTGTAGAGTAACTGCCAGCTTGTCTTCCGTTGATCTGTCCATGTTAATTGATGCTGTTTTTCTTAGGATTTTCTAAGGAAAGAATTCAGTGAAGAAAACATTTTATTCTGGCAGGCCTGTGAATATTTTAATCATGTTCCTGCACACGACAAGAAAGAGGTAAATTTCTTCATGCCTAGGAAATGGAGATTACAGCAGTATGGCTTCACTATAGGTTAGTTTAGCATATGATTAACATCTAGTCCAGTTTGAAAAGTTGGTGTAAAAATATTTTCACATGGTTTGAAAATGTCATTTCTTTTTCAGAATAATTTTTTATATATACATGATATTTAATTTTGTCTAAACATAGTTTGTGCAAATGTCTTCAGCCACACAACTTTTCATCAGCAATGTGTTGCCATTCGACGTGTTGAAATTAAGAAGAGGGAATGTGTGTCTAAAGGGAAACCTAAATAAAATCTGAGGCAGAAGAGCATCCTAAGAATGTGGGTTTTCTCAGCTCCCCTCACTTGCCACGTGGGCATGGGCCTGGGAGGACACTTGGCCGGGTTCTTCCCGAGCGCAGCCTGCGGCAGCACGTCCCGCTCCTCTTGGGTGAACGAGCACACTCAGGGCCGGGGCCTCTCGCATCAGCTTGGCACACTCGGGGTCTTTGCTCTCCTGCACACCCCCTTTGCTAAGTGGGGACCACCTCGCAGAAATACTAAATGTTCGCACTTGCCACGCCTAGGGGTACCGTTGCCCCAGTCTTTGGAATGGTTAAAGTATCCACTTAAAGAATTATACAGGAGCCAGTTCAGTGAAGTTTCTTACTAGCTTGTACTTTTATTTATTGAAGTAAGAAATGTTTATTGTGGCCCATGGAAGTGTTCCTTCGGTGCCTGGAGCTGTGCCAGGTCTTTGGAATACGGCAGCAAAGCAAGTAGAAAACCCACATTTCCTTTTTTATTGTTGTTGTTGTTGTTGAGAAAGGGTCTTGCTCTGTCCCCTAGGTAGAGTACAGTAGAGTCATCACAGCTCACTGCAGCCTCCAACTCCTGGGCTCAAGTGATCCTCTTGCCTCAGCTTCCCGAGTAGCTGGAACTACCACACCTGGCTAATTATTCTTTTTTTTAGTAGAAATGGGGTCTCACTCTTGCTCAGGCTGGTCTCGAACTCCTGAGCTCAAGTGATCCTCCCGCCTTGGATTCCCAGAGTGCTGGGATTATAGATGTGAGCCACCACACCTGGCCCATAAAACACATGTGTAGAAGAAGCCTGCTGTCTACATGCCTGCTCAGACATTTTCACCTGTCAGCTTTCCTACAGGGCCCGGGAGATTTTCAGTAAATTTCTGTGCAGCAAAGCCACTACCCCCGTCAACATCGACAGCCAGGCCCAGCTGGCAGACGACATTCTCAACGCACCTCACCCGGACATGTTCAAGGAGCAGCAGCTCCAGGTACCTCCCTGTGCCTCGGTTTCTTATGGGGAATCCTAGCTGGAGCTCGGGCTCTCAGACAGCCTCCAGATGGGGAGGAGAGTGGCTGCTCAACACAGACATGTCTTAGGGGAACACAGACAGAACTTGGGGATTTCAGTAGGGCTGTGAAATTAGAAGTCCTGAGCTACTGTTGGCCTCTCTGCAGGTGACCTGGTTGTTTACACATTCACATGTATATGTATACACACGCACACTTGTGCAAAATCACATAGGTACACACACATGCGCTTGTGTAAACTCTTTGCATTTTCACATGTGTGTACATGCACATGTACTTGTGCAAAGTCACATATTCGCGAGTGATGATATATGTGTGTTTGAATTTTTTTTAATTTTGGACATCACTATGATGAAAAATAAATAACCTGCTGTTACTTAGAGCCCGTGTTTCGCTGGCCTTTTCAGAGACCACTCTGTTGCTAAGTCACATGAATAGTGTTTTTAAAAAAATTGGAAGAAGGCATGTTCCAGGCAGTTCTCACTCTGTTAGATTTCCAGTTGGTTTTGGTTTCATTCTTAAAACAAGGTTCTCCAGGAGTGGCTGCCCTGAGTCTGCTCGTGGTGCTGGCTTCGTAGAAGTCATTGCAGTTTGCTGATTTTGAGAGTGGTTTGTTGGAAGAAAGAACAATCAGACATGAGGGGTCACTGGAAAATATCTCTAATGTACTCTGGGGCGCTGGGTGGGAAGATGGGCGGAAGTGATGTCCTCTCAGGAGAGGAGGCCCTCTGGTGTCCACAGGTCCCTCACACGGCCGTGGCCTTCAGGCCGAGCACTTGGTTGCTTCTCCAGCGGTGTCGCATTGCATTCGTCCCCAGATTTTCAACCTGATGAAGTTTGACAGCTACACGCGCTTTCTGAAATCCCAGCTATACCAGGAGTGCATCCTGGCGGAGGTGGAAGGCCGTGCCCTCCCGGACTCACAGCAGGCCCCCAGCAGCCCAGTGTCGAAGCACAGCCTTGGCTCGGATCACTCCAGCATGTCCACGCCAAAAAAGGTGCCCCTCCCCTGGCCTGGCTCAGGTCACTGCGGGGTGTGTCTTGTCCCGTGAGAGCTCTCCCAGGGAGGGGAGATAGAGGCCGTGTCTGCATGTTCTTTCCCCAGCAGCAGATGAAGGACGCACCGGACGTCCAGGCTGGCCTCGTGCTGGGGCTGTCAGTGCTGGAAGGTTCCAGCCACTGTGTCTGGAGTCGGGGCTGCAATCCTGGCCTGTCAGATGTCATTCCCTAAGAGTACTCACGACCACCGCTCGCTATTCCGTCTCCTTGTGCATTTCATATAATATTAAAATAACATTACCTTGTTTTAACCAAGGTTTCCATTTGCTGACAGTTGAGTGGAAAGTCAAAATCAGGACGATCCCTGAATGAAGAGCTGGCAGAGGAGGACAGTGAGAAGAAACGGAAAGGCGCGTTTTTCTCTTGGTCAAGGAGTAGGAGCACTGGGCGGTCCCAGAAGAAGAAGGAACACGGTGACCTTCCAAACGGTTTGTCGTTGCGCCTGTGTGGGCTGCGTTGTCCAGGCCAGCTCAGCCACGTCCCGCCACGGGCTGCAGGGCCGTGGCCACGGTGTGCGGCGCAGTGGGAGGTGGGCGGCTTGAGGAGGCTCTTGAGGAGTCAGGAAACGGGCTGGGAGCCTCGCCCTCCCAGGGCGCCAGCTGAGGGGCTGGGGGCATTCCAGCCCTCTCGCCCTTGGCAGGCTGCTGGCTGCAGGTAGTGGGGCAGAGGGAGTGGACATACTCCACACTTGAGGTGGAGGAGGAAGCCATTCTATGCCAGGGACTAGAAAGCACATAGGAGAGAGTTGGGAAGGATTTTCTTCCCTGGAGTTTCAAGAAAGGGATTACTTTCAGAAATGAGTGTACTGCCTAGCAGTGAGGGACTTGCACTAAGCCTCTGGTCCCCAAGTCGAAGTCGGGCAGTGACCATGATCTAGCAAGCACAAGCCAGGTGAGCCTGAGGGAGGTGAGTGAGGGGGCCCCATGGTGCTACCTGCACGGTGGGCATCGTTCCAGTTTACAGAAGGAGGCTCGGGCCTGGTGCAGGGTCCCAAGCTCCTGGCCGTGCTGTGGGTGTCCTTTTCAAACAAAGGCAACTGGGAGTTAAGGAACTCTCCTTCCTGAGAGGCCACCTGGGGCACAGACAGCGTGTCAGGAGATGGGGCCGGGGCCTCTCGAGTACCCGGGAGGTGGGGGAGTGTTAGTCCCGTTGTTCTGCCCACAAGAGCCGCTCCCCATCACAGGCTGTAGCTCTTTAGAGAGCCGTCTGGCGGGGCTTTTAAGGCCCTGATTGCAGGGGCTGCCCCAGAATTCAAAAGTTCTGATTCTGGCCCAGGGTGGAGCCTGGGAATCCGTCCTATTGAGGAGGTGGGCAGTGATTGGGGAGGCCGGGAGTACCGGGAGCCACTGTCTTAGCGCCACCCCGGCCCTGACAGCCCCTGGAGCCTGTGTGTAGCACCATGATTTGGGAGTAGTGCCTGTGTTTTCTTTTCTTTTTTTTTTTTTTTGAGACAGAGTCTCACTCTGTTGCTCAGGCTAGAGTGCTGTGGCATCAGCCTAGTTCACAGCAACCTCAAACTTCTGGACTCAAGCGATCCTTCTGCCTCAGCCTCCCAAGTAGCTGGGACTATAGACATACGCCGCCATGCCTGGCTAATTTTTTCTATACATTTTTAGTTGGCCAATTAATTAATTTATTTTTTTATTTTTAGTAGAGACGGAGTCTTGCTCTTGCTCAGGTTGGTTTCAAACTCCTGACCTTGAGCAATCCTCCCACCTCGGCCTCCCAGAGTGCTAGGATTACAGGCGTGAGCCACTGTGCCCGGCCGGGCCTGTGTTTTCAAAAGTCCTTTGAGTCAGAATTTTCATGATTTTTAGTGATGCCTAACAGTATAGAGTGAGTGTAAGTTAGGGACAGCAGGCGATTGTTAGCTCACTTTAGGACTTCAAGGAAAATGACATGAACAGAGGTCGTCAGTAAAGATTCAGCAACCCACTGGGAGCGTTTGCCGCTGTCCACAGGGGGACGGTTTTCTTTAGGCCCAGAAACTGCAGTTTGAGATGCAAATTCCAGATTGAATGAAAGAAAGTCAGGCCTGCCCAGGACACGTACTCGAGTTGGTGCCGTGCACTGCTGTCTGGTTCTGCCTGCTGCGGGCTGAGCGCAGTGTTGGAGCCGGCTGTGGCAGGGGCAGAGCAGAGAGCGGGGCCTGCTGAGGGGTGGGGCCGCCCTCGCCCCCGCAGGTTAGGAGGACGGTCCCAGTGAGGCGCAGCAGTGCCTGGGAGGGGCTTCCTTATGTCCGTCTTTCATCCTGCACATGTGCCCACTCTGCCTAAAGGGGGCAAAGACAGGGAGGTGGGACCAGACAGATGGGACTTTTGTCTCAAGTGAGGAAAAGTAAAGCTACCACTTCGGATTCATCTGAGTCACTGTGTCTTCCCGTCAAGACTCCATCCACGCCAACGGAGGCCCATGCCGCCGAGAGTCCCAGGGCTCCGTGTCCTCTGCAGGGAGCCTGGACCTGGTGAGTTGCTGCCTCCCCTTGTCCTGAGGGCTGCCGGGCTGTGCTGAACCCTGACTGGGGAAGCCTGTGTCTCACGTTATGCAACCAACCTTCATTTAGGGGCACGTGGCTTGGGCACAGGCCCAGGCCAAGTGGGCCTGTGCATGGCCCAGAGTGCACGGCCTTTCCAGGGTGCGGGCCAGGCCTGCTGTCTCTCCTCTAGTGCCTGCAAATCACGTGTGTCGCTGCTTGTTCTGGCCCCAAGTCCCTTAGACGAGAGGAGGTGGGCAGGCTTAGCAGGGTCTGCTGATCTATTAGCTGATGTCTGATTTGAATTTTGGACAACCTTATTGGTTGCCAGCATCCTTTTCATTTGAAAGTGTCAAGCAGCAATTAATGTAGAATATTATTTCTTCTTCGGTTTTGCCAAGTAACATTTCAAGCTGTAAGGATTTACCATGTGTCAGTTTGCTGTTGCTGTCTAATTACTATCCCTCCCAAACTCCATGGCTTAAAAAGGAGACTTTTATGATTGTACAAGCCTGCGGCCCAGCGGGTGGTCCGCCTACCTCAGCTGGCCATGCCTCAGTGTCCCTGCCTACCTGGCATGTCAGCGGGGCCAGTGGCCCCAGGTGACTTCACTCACCCCTGGCCCTCTGGACTGCAGGCTGCATCTCTGGCCGCCAGTCCCCTTGTTCCTGTGCAGAGCACACTGGCCCATAGGAGCCCAGGCTCCAAGCCACACACTGTCACCAAGCTCCTTCTGTCAACCCAGCCAGGGCTGCAGGGGCAGCTCTAGCTCCTGGGGAGGAGCCACAGAGCTGGGTAGTGAGCGGCTCAGGCACAGGGAAGGGGATAGTTGGGGCCATTTTTGCAACTAGTCTATAAACTAGCTTCTGAAATATCACTTTGGGGAAAGAGGTTTTCAGACCATCAGGAGTGACAATGAAATGACAATCTAGGCAGGGTTTACATTAGCAAAGTATACACAGGGAGCTGTTTGCAGAGAGGATGCGATGTGACTCAGAGACCCTAGCGGGTGGCTTGTCGTTGAGGAGCAGATCAGAGGGTGCAGGATGGTTGGTTATGCTCAGACCAAGAGGTTGTAAAGTATGTTCAGGGCCCAGCGTTAGAGGAAGGTGGTTGCTCTCAGTGTTGCCTTAGAAAACCCAACACTTAGCTCTTTGTGCAAAGCCACTGTGCAGATTGATCCTGAGTCTTTTGCACACGAAGGAGCTGTAGGTGGGACAGAGAGGCAGGTTGTCTGGCCTCCCCAGGCACGCGCAGGCTGGGGCTGGCCACACCTCCTTGGGGGCGCCCACCTCGTGAAACGCACAACCACTTGTCTCCCTGCCCCAGTCGGAGGCCTGCAGGACCCTGGTGCCCGAGAGGGACAAGGCCGCCAAGCACTGCTGCATCCTCCTCCCAGACGGGACGTCCTGCGTGGTGGCCGTCAAGTCGGGCTTCTCCATCAAGGAGATCCTGTCTGGACTCTGCGAGCGGCATGGCATCAACGGGGCCGCTGTGGACCTCTTCCTGGTGGGCGGGGACAAGGTACCAAGCTCCCCAGACACTCCGGGCCCCTTGGCTGGGGAACTGGTCTTGTCAGACAGCAGCCTGCCTGCTGCTTCTCTCGGCTGGCGGACTCCTCACGCGGGTCTCTGTCCCGCATTCCTCACTTAGCATGTTTGCTGGAAGCTGGGTTATCTGAATTCAGTGACGCTGCTGGGAGCACTTTGCATGCTGGTGTCGGGGTGGCGTTTGGAGAGTGATGCTTCCTCTGTGGATGGGCTATTTTTGAGCTGCTCTTTTGTTCTGCACAGCTGCACCCATTGCACATTGTTCCACACTTCAGGGGGTGCTTCTTGTTCCCACTTTAATTTTGGTCTCTTTGTTCCAAAGCCTCTGGTGCTGCATCAAGACAGTAGCATCTTGGAGTCAAGAGACCTGCGCCTGGAAAAGCGCACTTTGTTTCGGTAAAAGAAAAAGAGTTGTCATTTATGGGAGGTCCCAGAGCCCCCCCTTCCCCCATGCTGTCTCTTTGCTTTTAGGGAGTAGACACGTGCTGGTTCCGTGATGGGCTGTGAAGGCATGTCGGTGGCTGGGGCGAGAAGGGCAGCCTTCCTGCCCAGCCTGGTGGGCACAGCCCCCACGGCCACAGCGGGGAAGGGCTGCTCTGCAGGGCTCTGCCTGTGCTGGGAAGGGGGCGGCCGCCTCCCCTGCTCGGCTGCTGTCGCCCCAGAAGAGCCCTCGTGGCTGTCTCCCCACAGAGGAGGGCACTTCTCGCTCGGAGGCTGGCGGGACGGGTGGGCGCTGAGGCGCTGAGGGCTGCTCACGGGGCTCTGCTCTCGGGATGGGCCTCCCAGTGGGGACGCGAGTGTGTCTGTAGTGAATATTTTGTGTCCCCAGGCTGGACCTCGTTCCCATTAACCGGTCGGTAGGACTCAAGGCCAAGCCCACCAAGCCTGTCACAGAGGTGCTGCGGCCCGTCGTGGCCAAGTACGGCCTGGACCTCGGCAGCCTGCTGGTGAGGCTGGTGAGTGTCTCCCCCGTGCCGGGCGAGTGGCAGGAAGCTCTGTGCCACTCACAAGGGTGGGCGGGGTGGCCTCGCCCTCACAGCCCTGTGAGCCCTCTCCTGTGTCCGCAGACCTGGCCCTGCGCCCCAGTTCTCATTCTGTGGAGCCGAAACTCCATCATCGTTTTTTATACTTTGGTTGTTCCAAAAACAATCAATACTTGCAATGCGGTTTTGGTCCAGGGAAATGAGAAACAACCGACAGCCCACCCAAAGTAGCCCCACCCTTGCCCGTCTGGTCAGATGGCAGGGCTGACAGCACCTGCCTCACTGTGCCCCTCGTGCCCGGGGCGGGGCCTGGGCAGGTGACTCCTGATTCTCATCTGCACTTTGTCGTTGAAAACTCAGAACTGGCATTTGCAAGCCCAGCCACCCCTTGGCTATGTGAAGGAGGTTAGGAAGGGAACCAGGAGCACTGTGGGGGAAGGAGGGCAGGCCTTGGGCAGCCTCAGTCCAGGGTCGTTTCCGAAGCAGCAGGGGTCCTGGAGCCTGGCTGTGAGCTGTGGCTGAGGACTGTGGGCACTGTGCCGTTTCCCTTCTCAGCATCATCGGAGTGTGATTCCACGTATTTTTAGAATTTTAATTTTCCCTGAAACTGGCCTCAGCATTGCTTAAGAGCTTTGAAGTGAATGAGAGGAACCTATTCAATTATTCACTGGCACCATCTCCCAGGGTAACCTGAAGCTCGTCCCCCATGGCTGGGTGGAGAGCCCCAGCCAGCACCAAGCCCTCGTCTCTGCCTCCCTGTCTGTAGAACGGGGTGGGGGCCACGTGCTCATGGGGTGCTGGAGCCAGGGTGGGGCCCGGGGTTGGGGCTCATCCCTGGGAGCCGAGGCTTGTTCAGCTGCACGAGGGCATTGCCAGGCAGGCTCCAAGGTGGGTTGTGGAAGTGCTTGTGGAGTGGGTGTAGGTGGGCTTTCCTTGCACACACCCTCCTGGCCCTCTGGCGAGTTCTGTGGGCCACTGTGCCCAGGAGCATCACGAGTGAGGTAGGACCCCGGGCCTGGGTCCACTCCTTCGCTGGGGTGGCAGGCACAACCTGGACCTGGCTTCTCAGGGAGCCCGACGTCACCCCACTTGGCATTTGAGCACTTTTGTTGTTTTCCTGACTGACAGGTAATCTAAAATGCCAAGGGACAAGTTCAGGTTTTGTTTTTAAACAGTGGTGATACATGAATAGCAAGATTCTCCACCAAAGGAGAGAGGCCTTACCTAGGACACGGACTCCATCTCTGTAGCTGTGACGTGACACTTCGTTAGGATTAGGTCTTAGACCCGTTCCTGAAACTGCCGTCTTTGCCTCCGTATTTTCCAATGCCAGCGTTTGCTCTCCGTGCTCACTGCAGAGCAGTGCCTGAGGGCCGGTGGGGGCTTTTTAGATGAGCCACCATCCAGGTTCTAGGCGGCGTTGACTGTTAGGCCAACTTAAATTAATATTTAAGAGCATTTTTCACATATTTAAAAGTATTGAATTTGTGGATAAAGGTGTTTTTGATATTCACAGAGTATCACTCTGCCCAGGGTCCTCGCCTGGGCCGTGGGGGCCGGCAGCTGTCCTGCAGGGCTTGGTGGGAAGGCTCCTCGGGCACCAGCACCCTGCGGGCTGGCCGTGAGCCTTCGTGGCAGCATCTGGCCAAGCCCCAGGCCCTCCTTGTCGGCCGCTGACCCCAGGGCATGGGTATCTGACTCCACCCAGCCCAGGTGGGGCCTCGTCCGTTGGCCGTCGCAGCTGCTCCCCAAAGCAGCAGTCAGGTAAGGGCTTCAGCGTGCGTCTCTGCCCTAGAGTGGAGAGAAGGAGCCCCTGGACCTTGGCGCCCCTATTTCGAGTCTGGACGGACAGCGGGTAATCTTGGAGGAGAAGGACCCTTCCAGAGGAAAAGGTGAGCCTGACCACACACACACCTGCTCCCTGGCCCCCAAGCCCTGCTGCCCACAACTGCTATCTCAGCCGGCACTAGCGGTTAGGACCTTACCAGGGGCCCTAGGACCCCCGGGACCCCTAGCAGGGGCAAAGGTTTGATGCTTAATGCAGTGTTTCTCAAACTAGGTGTCAGAGGGGCTGAGACTAGGAGCATCTTGACCTCCCAAATGTGTCTTCTCAGCTGTAAAAAGGGGTGACGGTCCCTGCCCACATTACCCTGGGTTGCTCTGAGGTTCTGGCATGCTCACGTCAGAGCATATTAGTGCTGGAAGGTGCTCTCTTCCTGGGAGGACGTGGAGTCCTTGCATAAAATGGAAATGGGGATCCCCAGGGTCCTGGTGGCCCTGTCTGGGCCTCCTGGTCCCTCACCCAGTGCCTGATTTGGTGCCCTTCACTCTGGGCACAAAACAAGAAGTGAGGACGCAGGCCCTTCAGGAGCTGAGACCACACACTTGGTAGTTTTGGTTTGTTCTGTTCCTTTCGTGCAGTGAGTCAGGTGGTTTTCAGAGCTCTCTCCGCACGCCACGTTGGTGACAGCAGCTCAGAGCCCTGTGCAGGACCAGTCGCTTGTAGAGCTGGGCTCACGGCCGGGACTAGTGCCTCCAAAGTACATTTTGCTCTTCAGAGCAGTTGTGCAAGAAACTGTGCACGAGGAAAGGTTATTAAAGCCAGGTGGGGTGGGGACTGTCTGTAGCTGCCACCAGGGACAGGCCAAGGTGTGGCCCAGAGGACTGTCCAGGGGCAGGGGCAGTGGGAAGTAACTCTCCTGGAGAGAGCTGATGGGAAAGCCACCTACGGTCTGGAGGATAAGGTCACTTTGTAAGGAGCCACTTGGGTGACCTTGGGCTACCCTTCCCTTTTCAGGACGTCAGCCCAGTGAGGGCTCTGGTCCAGGTGATTTCTGAGGGCTCCTCTGAAAAGTCCCCCAGGTTGGCCGGGCGCGGTGGCTCACGCCTGTAATCCTAGCACTGTGGGAGGCCGAGGCGGGTGGATTGCTCGAGGTCAGGAGTTCGAAACCAGCCTGAGCAAGAGCGAGACCCCGTCTCTACTATAAATAGAAACAAATTAATTGGCCAACTAATATATATATATATAGAAAAAATTAGCCAGGCATGGTGGCGCATGCCTGTAGTCCCAGCTGCTCGGGAGGTTGAGGCAGGAGGATTGCTTGAGCCCAAGAGTTTGAGGTTGCTGTGAGCTAGGCTGACGCCACGGCACTCACTCTAGCCTGGGCAACAAAGTGAGACTCTGTCTCAAAAAAAAAAAAAAAAAAGTCCCCCAGGTTGTGGTGTGGGTCATGTGCCTATGCCGAGGGTGACCTGGGTGTGGGCTCCAGGCAGAATCCTTGTTCTTGCTCCCGTGTCATTACAGGGGAGGCCCCACCACCCTCTGCTCTAGAGAATGTTGTACTTGTCGCCTGGGCAGGTGGGGTGGCAGGGTGTGGGGGTCCTCGCCCCTGCCTGCAGGGTTTGAGGATGCCAGGCCCGTGACGTGTTTGTGTGCAGGTGAGGCCTCTGGTGGAGCTGAGTGGGGAGCACAGCGTGTTCGCTGAGCTGTGGGGGCAGGACTGTGGATCCCATAGCTGCATCCGGGCCAGAGAAGGGGGCTTTGGACCCTTAGTGCTGGCAGAGGCCAGCCTGCGCCCTGATTTGGGACACAGGCCGATTTGAAAATATGTCACGAATGTGAGACTCTTCTACTTTCTAAGGAATATTCATGCCAAATGGTATATGAAGTTAGCCCTTCAACATCATTCCTCCACAAAACCCCCAGTTAGGTTTACGGAGAGAGCGCTGTGCCTCCACACTGCCCTCACAGGGCGACTCCCACCCCAAACCCAGCAGGCAGGGGCCTTTTGTCCTGCACTGGGGGTCCCTGCATGCCTAGGGGGAAAGGGTAGCAAGTACCTGCTGGCTTCTCTATGGCTTTGCTCTCAAAGACAATAGAAACAGATGCTATTTGACTGTTGAGATGCATTTGCGAGCCACCGTAATTACAACACATTTCTCCTTGTGTTTGGGACCTGCAGACAGACAGAAAGGTGCACTGGCCAAACAGAACACAGCCATCAATCCCAGTTCCAGAAACCACTCGGCTACGGTAATTCCCCTCCCGCCTGGCCCCAGCCAGCCTCTGCTCCCAGCAGCCCACGGCTCTCTGCACCCCGGGGCTCCTCCTGCGTCCTGCTGGCACCGGCGCCCCCTTCCCTGCGATCAACCGGCTTTCGGCTTTCCTTTCTCCTGGGGGCCGTGCCTTGCACGCTCTGCTCTCTGCGAGCTGCGTCGCTGCCCGTGGTTTGTCTGCAGTGCATGTGGGTTCTCTCAACGCGGTCTCTACTCGCAGAGCTGTAGTCTGTAACTGATGACTTGTGCGTTGTCATGTGTTGACGTGTAAGTAGAACTTTGGCTTTCCTTCTAATGCAGGGAGAGGAAAGAACACTAGGCAAGTCTAATTCTATTAAAATAAAAGGAGAAAATGGAAAAAATGCTAGGGATCCCCGGCTTTCAAAGAGAGAAGAATCTATTGCAAAGATTGGGAAAAAAAAATATCAGAAAATTAATTTGGACGAAGCAGAGGGTATGTGTACTTTTTAAAACTTCCACGTTTTTTAGTAAATGCACTTTTAGTTTCCAGTATAGTCATTAAGACCTACTCTGCCTGTCGACATCTGGGTGGCTGCAGACCCCGTCACACTGAGGATGCTCCTCCCCGGGTCAGCCTGTGGGCTGTGGGTGTAACTTCACTGAAACCCCCATTTTCAGATTGAGTGCCGGGCCCTTGGGGGCATCAGGGAGGCCCCTCGTGGCCTGCAGCTCTGTCTGTACAAAGGTGCTGAGGGCCCCTCAGGTGCAGCCTGCCCCTACATAGCCCCAGCCCTGACGTGAGCCAGGGCCTCGGGCTCGCCTGGAGGGGCACAGCTGGTGCCCGGCAGGAGCAGGCAGGTCCCCCAGCCTCTGCAGGACGGAGGAAAGTGGCCTGCATGTCCCTGTGCCCCAGGAGGGACAGCAGAGAGATGATCTGGAGACTGAGACAAGAGATGAGTCCTTTCCTAAAAGTGCCTTTTCCTCCAAAAGCTTGTCACAAAGAGAAGCGTTGAAAGCGGAAGCAAAGCTACCAGCTGCTACCGTGACCTGCGTTTTCATCCAGGGAGCACGTGCTGCTCAGCCTGGCTTGTCACGGCTTGTTGTGGTGTTCAGCCTCACAGTAAAACCATAAAACACTCCTCCTTCAACCTTTGTTGGCCACCAAGCAGAAGTAAAGCACACACCCGCTTTGAAGGTTGTGCATTTCTGAGAACTATCAAAATTTGAGACTTTAGACTTTGTAGTTGTTTAAAAACTCAAATAATGCAATTTAAATGCTAGAGAAAGCTCAATTTAGACCCCGTTGACCTTGAATGGTGAACTTGAGTTGCAATAAAGAACCCAGCCACGCCAGGCAGAGAAGAGTTCTGGAGGGGCCAGCGGGGCAGCCAGAGGTTCTCGGGTTCCCTAGACGCTGGGCGGCAGCAGGCCACGTGCAGGCCAGAGGACGGCTCTGCCCAGGGTGGAGCAATTGCCCCTGCTGCCTCCAGGCCTGCGCCGCCTCCCAGCCGTGGCGTCCCGGCTGCTGCTGGGTCCTGGCTCTGCCGGGCTTCAGTCTGGTGGTCACTTTTGCCCTGTCCTAGGAAGGGGGCAGGACTCAAGTATAAAAGGGCCCCAAGTGTTAAATAAGAAACCCAGGCCAAGGTGCCTAACAGCACCCTGCTAAAACACCGTCAGAATGTTACCGTAATTGGAGGGTTTTTGATTATTCGAGCCTGACCTTCACGCAGTTTAGTTTTCAGGGAGGTGCACAGCTGCTTCTGACTCCTGAAGACAGATTGTGCTAGAACCCCTGGGGGCTTCTGCTCTAGTTCCTGGGTGAAGGCAGGCTAGGACGTTAGTTCAGGGCCACAGGACAGACAGCCCACCACGAGTGCTTTCTAGAGAGTGAATTTTCTGCTATGACACACATTAGTGTGAAGCTCTCTAAAACATGGTCAATGTGGGTTTTCTTCCAATAGAGTTTTTTGAGCTCATTTCCAAAGCTCAGAGCAACAGAGCAGATGACCAACGCGGGCTGCTGAGGAAGGAAGACCTGGTGTTGCCAGAGTTTCTTCGTCTGCCTCCTGGTTCCACGGAGCTCACCCTCTCCACCCCGGCCACAGCTCAGGCCATTAGCAGGAGAACCGCGACAACCAGTGGCAGGGAGGACGCGTCCCCACCCCAGGAAAGATGGGCGCCAGCCCAGGACAGCAGCGACAGCCCCTCAACCAGCCTGGGCTCGGCCCATAGTCCCCCGGGCCCCTCTGGCACGAGCCCGCCTGGGCAGAAGTCTCCCAGCGGGCCCTTCTCCATCCCCCAGTCCCCCGCCCCCCGCACACAGGAGGGCACAGCACAGATGTGGAAGAGGCAGTCGTGGGAAGTAGAGTCCGGGGACATCCAGACCGTGGAGGATGGGCAGGGGGCTGACCTGACCCTGGTGGGGGAGGCCCACATCAGCAGCCCCAACAGCACGCTCCTGCCGCCGCCCCCTGCCCCCCAGGACACGCCTGGACCTTCGCAACCAGGTACCTCTGGGTTCTGACCCTGCACCCAGCCCTTTCCCACCCCGCTGCTGCCAGCGTGGTCCGCTCAGTGTTCAGTACAACAGGATGGCTGTGGGAAGTGGCTTCCAGCTGCCACTTTGGTTTAGCGAGGCGTCCCCACAGCCTATGCTCCCCTGTTTATCGTATTTATTTTGGGCGTCCTTGGCCTGTTCTGAAAGGCCAAGTTTGTCACGGTTGATTGTGGAGAGGCTCAGACAGCGGCTCAGGGCAGGCGCAGCCCGCCCACCATGCCCGTGCAGGGGTGGCGCACAGGCAGGGCCCGCACCGGGGCAGTCACACCCCTGGGCAAGGCCTGGGGACTCAAGATGTCTGTGTTACTTTCAAAGCCTAGATAGCCAGCATTTTTAGTGTGCGATTCTCAAGACTGAAAAACAGAATTTGTCCTGAGCGAGTAAGTGAGACCCGGCGACTCGGAGCAGGACGGGCCTCCGACGCAGGCCCGCGTGCGGGGAGCGTGCTGCGCAGGCCGGGCAGGGCGTGCTGCGGATGAGGGAGCGGGAGCTGCGCCGGCGTGTGCCTGACCCCGGCGTGCCGCCGCGTGTCTCCCAATGGAAGCATGAAATTTAGTGTGTGCGAAGGTGAACACCATGGTCTGGAAGCAGAGAGATTTCCAAGAGCCACAAGTATTAGGAATTGAGGCGAGATTCACCACATCCTAACCAGCAGCTGGCAGGGCTGCTTCCAGGAGCGGGTGCCGGGCCGGCGTGGCTGTGCCTCCAGAGACGGTGTCAGAGCACGCTCAGCAGTGTGTGGGCACTTCTGGTTGCGACTCGCCGTTGGGGGTGGCGAGGTTGCCCTCTGTGCCCCGGTATCCTGGCGCAGGGCGCTGGTGGCAGTCTGTCCTGCTGTAGGGTCAGGTCGTCGGGCCTGTCGCCCAGACCTTGGCAGGGCACAGGGAAGGCATTTTCTATGTGCGTCCTGTGTATCTGACATCCGGGCACTGTGGAGGCCACATGCTGTGTGGAGGGCTCCCTGGTGCCCTTCCCAGCAGGAGCACTGGGATGTGAGGCCCAAGGCGCCGTGGCCGTCCGTGGATGCTGCTCTGCTCGCCTCTGCCCTGCTGCCTGTCCCCTCCTGCTCTTCTCCGTAGACGCCTGTGTGTAGCTTCTGCCTCTGTTTGGAGCCTGTGTTCTTCCGAGAGTAATAAACTCTAGAGCTCATCGCTGGACTGGTTTAAAACTCTTTTCTTTTTCATTTCAAAATTTCTTTCCACTTTAGAAAACTATAGAAATATTTTAAGCTAGGGAAAATATTATACATTTTTAGGACATTAAATGGATTCACCTTAATATATCAAATTTTAAAAATATACCATTCACTCAACAAAATCCTCTGGCACTTCCTGTGTACCTACCAAGCGCAGTCATACAACGGTGGCAGCAACCAGCACTCCACGGCACCCAGGCTGGGAGGGTGGGCACCTCCTCCCGGGGCCCTCACAGGCCTCTCCAGCCAGGAACCCACAGGGCCGCGGCATGGTCAAGCCTCCAGTCTGCGCCTGCCTCTGGCCTCCTTCCTCCAGATGCTTCCACAGCAGAAGAATTGGTGACACTGCAGTCGTCCAGTTTGTTCCTCATAGACGGGGGCGCTGGGCTGTCACCCAGCTCCTGCCCAGCCACACCAGCTGTGGGCTGCTGGGGCTGGCTCTGCCTCGGCTCTCCCACCCAGCAAGGGCTGTTAGCATGGGCAGCGCTACCCACGCCAAGGAGCCTCTGCCGGCTGTCCCTAGCGTGCTCACAGCAGGAGGGCAGGGGTGGTGCCAGCCGCGTAGGAGGCACGTCCTCCTTGACCCCTGGTAGCTGCTCCTGACCACGGTTGGCTAGGACCAGTTCCATGGACCCTCCAGCCCACTCAGGCATTAAAGGGCCCCAAGTGTTAAATAAGAAGCCCAGGCCGAGGTGCCTAACAGCACCCTGCTAAAACACCGTCAGAATGTTACCATGATGTTACCCCGTGGCTTTGGGCCCTGTCCTGGGAGGAGATCACAGCAGGAGAAAAGGGAGTGGAAGGGCCTTTGGCCATAGATCATAGGTCTATGGTTCCTGCTGGACAGCAGTAGGCTCCACGACCTGCCCAGTCCTCCTGGAGGCGACACCCCAGTCTATGGGGAGGGCCTTGGGACTTTGTGCATCTCACTTTCTCAAACTCCAGTTTGTGCTGCTAAATCCAGTGGCCCTCAGGGGTTCTAAGCATGGGGGCTTTGTCACAGCATAAGCCGTGATTAGCTGCCTGCGTGGGCAGTGGAGGCAGTCATCTGCGAGGGTCTGTGGCTGTCTTTGCCACTCTTGGGCAGTGGGGAGCCTGGGCCAAGTGCTGACTTGCACCTCTCACGGTTGAGAAGTTCAGGATTCATTCAGAGTCACTCTCCATGGCTCTAAAAACTGCTATGAAGTATTTCTCAACGAAACGGTGGCTGCTGTGGACCCACCATCCTACGTGAGGAATACTTGGGGCTGGGCCCCTGGCACCCATACCCCTGCAGCCATGGCTGGGCAGAAGTAGGCAGCCCCCCAGGGCTGCACTGCTCACCCCACCCCTCCAGCCTCTGGGCCTGTCTCCCCCTGGGAAGGGCTGCCCAGGACAGCGGGGAGGCCCCGGTCCTCAGGAGATTGCAGACTCTGGCTGGCAGCAGGGCAGTGCCAGGTGCCCCCTCAAAGGGGGTCCTCGCACAGCTGTCTTAAGGATGGGTCCCCACAGCAGCTCACCTGGAGCCCTCCTGCCTCAGTGTCACAGGTGCCAACGACCCCAACGGGTGTGTCTGGGCACAGTGGCCATTCTCAGGGAGCCTAGAGCTTGGCTTCCTGCCAGGTGCACGTGCTCACCTGTCGGGGGGGCCTGGCCTAGAGACGAGGCTTCAGGGGCCACGCCCTGTACCCTCGGGGCCAAGGTAGCCAGACCACTGCCCTTGTGTGGCCGGAGTCCTGGGGGCCCATCTGCACCAGGCTGACCCACACTGCCAGCCTGGGCCCCTGTACTGCCCAGCGTCACACCCTCAGAGGCTCAGTGAGGACACAGCCCTACCTGGCTCCTGTGCTGCCCAGAGCAACACCTGTGGGGGAGGACCCCTAGGCAGATCCTATCCAGTCAGTGTCTCCAGGGGCCTGGGGGCTCCTCACATTTGTGCAGAGATGCGGCAGGCACCCACCTGTGGCACCTTCTGGGGGAAGCTGGCCCAGCCCCCCCTAGGCACAGATGCAGCCCAGACTTTCTCATGCTGATGTGGATTGCGGGGGTCTGGTTTTCTTGGGGACACATCAGCCCTAGGGGCCTGGCATTGGTCTCAGGCCTATAAAGTTGCTGGGGACACATGGCCGTCTGCTAGGTACTCTCCACAGCCCCCTCCCCAGAGCACGTGTGGGAGCTTGTGACTTGCCAGTTGGCCTTGGTCCTGAGCACCTGTCTCCTGCAGATGTCTGGGGACTCCACCTGCCCAGCCCACTCCGTGGCCACCCCCCATGGACTTCCCAGAGCTGAACAGCTGGCCTGGCCACTCCTTTGCGGACCTCAGCCTGGGTTGCAACTCCTGATCCTCCAGTTCCCGCCACAAGCTGCCCTCACCCCCGAAGTGTGTCCTACCTTCTGGCCCAGCCAGGCCTGCCAATGTGGTAGCCACAGGCCTGCAAATGACCACAGTCTGACCCGTCCCACCCCCACATTCTCGGCAGGACAGGCTGCCCATGCCCACCTCAGGCTGGCACTGCTGTGGCTTCTGCCTGTGGCCCCTCCCTGGGGTCCACCCAACTGCAAGCCTGGGCTGGGGTCACCCTCCCCACTGCCCATTCCCCGCACGCCACCCCGTGCACCCTGCTGAGCTGTGTCCACCCCCCTCGCCAGCACCCAGTAAATATTTGCTGAAAGAGGAACTTTAATCCAGCCCCACCTCCACTGCGGACACAGTCAGGATACCCGCTGGGGACCCTCATGGAGGGGTCACCTTGAGGGTCACAAGCTGGAACCAGGGCTCTGGTGGGCTCTGGTGGGTCAGTAGGAGCTCGCAGGCCCCCTGGATGCTGTGGGGTAGGCTGCGGTGAGGGCCTTTCAGCGGGGGGCTCCACTCCTGGGCGTCCTGTGCCCCCAGAGCTTCCTGGGGGGATGTCACAGAGGAGGTGGCAGCACTGGCTGCCAGATAGCCCAGGGCACCCGGCAGAGGTAACAGCCAAGTGCCTGGAAGACAGGAGGGTCCCTCAGGGCAGGGAGGGCAGGGGGATGGGCCTTGGGGGCTGGGTCTCGAAGGGGAGCCTGTGGGGCAACTGAGGGCCGGCCCGGTGTGGCTGGGTCATGGCCTGGGCTGCCGCATACTCAGGAGGGCAAGGCAAGAAGGGCCTGGACCGTGGCCTCTCCTTGTGATTCTACCATCCACAGCCGCTCACCAGAGACAGGTGTTTCTCCCCACCCTGAGCCTGTCGTCCCATCTGTCTGTGCTGGTGGGGCGGGGGTGGGGTGGGGGGGTGTGGCCCACAGGGGTCCCGATAGCTAGAGGCAGACCCCGGCCTCTCTCCACACCTTGCTCACCTCCTAGCCATGCAGCCTGGCATGTGGAGCCACAGGGACTGGGTGACAGGAAGGGGATGGGTGGATCTGTCCCCTTGCCCCGTGGGGCAGAGCTGGATCCTAGCTAGAGCGGAATCCTAGCGGAACGGTCCTTGAATGACTAGAGAACCGACATAGAGAAGCCTCTATGTGGCTGCTCCACATGCCCATGGGCTTCCAGGGGCAGCTTAGGAGGCATCCCTGCCAGGTCCTCCTGAGCGGGACAGTCTCGGCAGACGTGGGGGAGGCCCGGATGAGAGCCTCTTCCACCTCCTCATGCCCTTGGAAGGGACGCCACGCCTCTGCCCACAGGCCAGGACTTGCCTCAGTAGGCGGCTTCCAGAAGCCTGGGGCAGTGCTGAGACGGGGTGTGGTGGGGTTGGACTGCCGGGGTCGCAGGGCAGCTGGGGAGGCTTAGAGCCCGGAGGCATCACCTTCACTGGCAAGGCCTTCCCATTATAGCTAAGGAAACCGAGGCCAGGGAGGGGCAGTTGGTGGGAGGTTCTCATGGGCCAGGGGACCTCAAGGGCCAGGCTGCAGGCCCACCTGAGGAGGCGGGCTCTGCCGCACCCCTGCCTGGGTTCCTTAATCCCCACTCCTCAGGGTGGGTGATGTCACCCCCACTGTACAGGTGGCAGACGGTCACAAGGGGGCGGGGCTTCCTTGGGCTACCCCAGTCTGAGGGCTTCCTGGGGCTTTGACCCTGGGGTGGCACTGTCCTGCTTGCATCCTGGGGCCACAGTGGTGGGGATGGCCGGGCCTGGAGCTGATCCTGAACCTCGTCTCACTCCGTGGGTGCCTCTTGTTCCCTCCCATGCCCACCCAATGTTGGTCCCTGGGGACTCCACCCTGGGGGACACGTCTCTGTCTCTGAAGGGGCCATGTGGGGACCAGACAGGCATGCCAGGGCAGCAGCCACTGGGCTGTGAAGGCCTCCCGTGGGTTGGTGGGGGGAAGGGCCTGTCCACCTCCGGTATGGAAGCTTCCAAGGTGATTTCAGGCATCTGGAGCTCTGGGATGGGGAGGGCCAAGAGCAGAGGCGGGGCTGATGGCACTGGGCGGCCCAGAAGAGCGGCCTCTGGGAGTGAGGGGGGCAGCAGGCCCCATGGCAGGGGAGTAGTGGGGTGAAGGGACTATGGCTGGAGGTGGGGGCATGGGAATGGACATAAGCCACCTCCCTGGTGTCCCTGGGACAGAGAATAGACCCAAGGGCCAAGAACGAAAAGTCCCCCCATAGAGCCACCAGCACCCTGAGCCCCTTCATTGCTCTGCTGGCCCCTCGTGGTTCATGGCCCCGGCCCCTTGGCCTCTGGAGTCCGTCCAGGCTCTACCGTGTCTGCCGCGGCACCTACAGACTAGCTGGAGACTTGGAGGATCCTTCTGGCTCCTCTGCCCCAGCCCCAGGCCCAGGCCCCCGGATGGAAGTCACCTGCCTCTGGGAGGGATTTGGGGTGTTTTAGGAACCCCTCCCAAGGCCAGTGTCTGTGCAAGGGCCAGGGGACTGGGTTCCAGAAGCCCAGGGCTGGGCCAGGCAGCTGACAGCTCCTCTCTCTCCCTGTGACAGGCGGCAGGGCCCGCGGCAGCCGAGGCCTTCCAGTCAACACCATCATCGACGTGGACCTTGTTGGCTTCGTCCCCGGGCTGGGTGGCAGTGTCCTGGGGGTGCAGGCAGGCCCAGGGAGGTTGAGGGCCAGTGGGTCCCTGACGCCAGACCTCCCTGGCCCAAGCTCCGGCCCGGGGGAGCCCGCCAAGCCCAAGGCCAGCGCCTACCATGCAACCTTCGTCTGAAGCTCCCCAGCTTGGCCAGCTGTCGTGTGGACACGTATGGGTGGCCGAGAATGCCCTTGGAGGGGGTGTCTTGGCTGCCACACCCCCAGAAGCCAAACTAGGATGGGGATGACCATGTTGGACAGACGGGCCTCGGACACTCTCAAGTTGGCCACAGGTCCCTAGACCCGGCGTGGGCTGTCCCCTCGGCACTCCGCCCAATAAAGCATTTCTGAGGACACACCAGGCGTCGGTGGCGTGCTGGGTGATGGGGACGCAGATCCTGCGCTCGGGAGCCCACTCCAGCAGGCAGAGGGGCTCGAGGAGAGGAGAGGCCGAGGGACTTCTGGGAGGGGCCTGGAGTTCTCCTGCCCAGTCCAGCCCTGGGCTAGTCCCCTTTCCACCGTCCCCCCACCCCATCTCCTCTCTAGGGGCAGGGGCTCCTCTGGGGGACGAGCTCAGCTGGTCACCGTGTCTGCACCGTGTCTGCACCGTATCATCCGAGTCACCTGCCTGGGCATTGTGGGGACCCTGCTGGCTGCTGCGCCCTGACCCCCCGTCCTTGGCCTCATTTTGAGGGGTGGCCTAGGAGGGGCTCTCGGGAGGGGCCATCTGAGCTGAAACCTGACTGCTGAGGTCTGGAAAGAGCTCAGGCATGTGCAAAGGCCCTGAGGCTGGAGTGCATATGGTCAGGATGGGAAGTCCCAGTGTGGCCGGAGCCCTGTGGGGAGGGGAGGCGGCAGGCCACAGCGGGTGCCGAGTTGGGTCAGAAGGAGGCGGCCACGTCGGCCCAGGCTGCCTCAGTGAAACCCCCAAGGCTGAGCAGCCGTCTTGCACTCCTCCCTGGAAATAGTGTGTTTGTCGTCGCATCCTAGAGGCCTAAGAGAACACAGCAAGGCCTCTTGGGTTGTTCTGGAAGCTTCCATGGAGGGGCCCCAGGAAGCAGTGCTCTGCTCAGGGACCTGGAAGGGAACGCAGGCCCAGTACCAACTGTGTGCTAAGCACCCACCGCACCAAGCTGGTGCTCACTCAGCGTCTGCCCTTCTTCCCTCCTCACAGATGAGAACACGCGGGGCCAGAGAGTGGGGTTTGAGGTCCACGGAGAGGTGCCTTCCGCCCAGGTCTGTCCCCAGGCCACAGCAGCAGGTGGCCCTCCCCTGCTGCCCCAGTGTGGCAGCCTGGCGGGCAGAGCTGCTGACTCATCAGAGGCGGCTGCTCAGAAATTTTGCAGAAGAGGTTCCGAGGCAGCTCTGCCACAGCCCCAAGTCACGCATTCCAGGGAGACATGGGTGGGGGACACTCCAGCTCTGTCCAGGGGTGGTGCCCCTGTCCCAGGCCCCTGGGTGCCTGGCCCAGGGCTGTGCTGGGGCCCAGAGAGACCCAGAGATGGCTTGGAGCATCCCAGGGCTTGGGAAGGCTTCCTGGAGGAGGGGCATGGGCCTGCCCAGGAGAGGAGGGGGAGGGGACACTCTGAACATCACAAGGGGCTGCCAGGGGCCCTGGCCACCCCCAGAGTTAGGACAGATGGAAGGAACAGGCCATGCGGGCCCCTGTGCTGAGGTCATCAGATGATTACCTCAACCTCGTGCACGACCCCTCACCGTGGGGCCACTGAGAAGGGGCTCTCTCTTTAGGAGCCCTTGTGTTGCCATCTATGGAGTGGCGACAGTGCCACCCCACCTTGACTCAGGGAGCCACTGTCTGTGCCAGGCTGGACACAGGCCTAGGCCCATTTAGAGGCTCAATGTGTGTAGCAGCCCTTGTAATGACCAGTTCACACACGTAAGAGTAGCCAGCTCTATGGCACTTAGAGACCGGAGCAGGATAGCTGAGCCCCTGGGGCAGGGGCAGGGTGTGCCAGACAGCAGGTGTGGGGGCTGGGGACACTCAGGGACTTCCAATGTGGGCCCAGCATGGGAGACAGCCAGGGTTAATCATTTCCACGAGGCCCTGACCCCGCCTGCCCTGGCCACTCTGCTCCTGCCTCCTGCTGCCCTTTGCGCCACCCCAGGAGGAGCCATGGGGCACTGGGCCTGGGTCCCCAGCCCCTGCCCCCAACCTGGGCTGTGCCCCCTCCTCCTGCTTCTGCTGCTGCTGCCTCATAGCGCCCAGCCCCTGGCCGGCGGGGTGAGCACTGACCCTGGTTGCAGGGTGACCAAGGGTCCCTAGGATAAGGCCAGAGGGGAGTCCCTAGGCAGGGGTATGGAGTGGGCCAGGGGTCCAGTGTGGGTGGCTCAGGTCGTGGGAACTGCCTTCTGGGGGGCTGAGCCCCACCTGGGGGCTGTTGGTCCCTCTGTGCCTTGTCTGGGCCCCCGTGGGCCATCCCTCTCTATGGGCCCCTGTTGGGTCGGAATAACAAAGTGGGTGCAAGGGCCTCTGAGGCCTCTCAGCTGCTCCGGCCACCCCAGAACTGAGCCTGGACGACAATGTGCGGCCTGGATTGTGACCTGAGCCAGTCCCGAATACCTGCTGGGCTTGCAGGGAGGAGCTGGGGCCCAGCTGAGGCTTTGGGAATGTCCAGTGTCCCCTGACCTGCTCCGAGACCTGAGTTCCCGATCCTGCCTGAGTGCAGGGCTGTCCCACTGACACTCTTTCGGCTCCTGCTAGAACCACACAGGCCCCCCAGAACCTAAAGCCACAGCGACCCCTGGGACCTCCACAATCCAGGTGACCTCCGTGACCTCTGAGACCCCAGCAATGAGTACTCCAGAGGCAGAGGGACCCCAAGGTGGTGGGTTCCTGCCCCCACCCAGGGAGGCTCCTTCAAGCAGCAGCCCCCAGGGCCAAGGTGGGTCAGGTGGGCTTGGGTGGTGTCCTGCTGCCCCTGAAGGCGGGTTGGGGGAGTGTGGGCAGCCGCCGGGGATAACGCTGCCACGTCCTCCGCAGTGCTCACAGAGGACGGCCAGCCTTGCAGGTTCCCCTTCCGCTACGGGGGCCGCATGCTCCACTCCTGCACTTTGGAGGGCAGCGCCCACAAGAAGTGGTGGGTCCCAGGTGGGGCAGGGGCTGGGCCCTGGTGGGGGTCTGGTCTGCCCTCTCCAGCCTGCTCCCGACCAGCCTGGCACGCAGGAGGCGCTCAGCACACAGCAGGGGGATGGGGAGCTCTGAGGTGGTGGGGCTGGGGTGGGGTAGGCAGGTCTCTGGGCTGGGACCCCCATGTCACCGCAGGTATGGCCCCCCAGGTGTGCCACAACTCACAACTATGACCGGGACAGAGCCTGGGGCTACTGTGCAGAGGCTGCACTGCCTGCGGAGGGCCCAGGTGGGTGCAGGGCTGTGTGGGGACAGCCTGAGGCCAGGCCAGAAGGGAGCCCCGGTGGGGGCGGGGGCGGGGCAAGGTGCTGAGTGGGGCTGACTTGGGGCAGGGGTCCTGCCTGGAGTGAGTAGCGGAGGGGCTCTGGGTTAATCCCACTGAACCCGGGATGGGTGGGGACAGCAGGGCCAGGGAGCCTCTCCTGGGCAGGACCCTGGCCCTCTGGGGGCCGGTGTGGCCACATGGCCATGGCTGGGGCCAAGGCGCCCCCTGGTGGTGAGGTCAGGCCTGTGGCCGCACGGCGAGGGCTGAACAGGGAACCCAGTGTGCGAGAGGGGTTGAGGGAGTGAGGGCCACGAGTCTGTGGGGGACGTGGGAAGGGTCTGCTGCCTGGCAGTGGGGACGTCAGGTTTCTGGGTGCCAAGTGCAGAGCTGGGCAGGCACACGAAGGAAGAAGGGGAAGCCTGACCCCGCCCAGGGGACTTGCACCCTCAGGACCCCCGAGGGGTGGTCAGAAGGTGGAAGGCCCAGTGGAGGCCCTTGGCAAGCAGGGGGTGTCACAGACTCATGGCCCCTCCCATGTGTCCCCAGCTGCCCTGGATCCCTGCGCCTCCAACCCCTGCCTCAATGGGGGTTCCTGCTCCAACACCCAAGCCCCCGAGTCCTACCACTGCAGCTGCCCCGGGGCCTTCACGGGCAAGGACTGTGGCACAGGTGCGGGGGCTGTGGGGGCCACGGGGGCCTCAGGGTCCACAGAGGCTGTGGGCTGGAGTGAGCAAGTCCCGGGAGGATGGGAGAGCAGGTGCTTGTGGGATCTGCATGGGGCGGTGGGTGGACAGGGTGCGGGCCTCACTGTGCACCCCCAGAGAGGTGCTTTGACGAGAGCCGCTACGAGTACCTGGAGGTGGGCGACCGCTGGGCCCGCGTGCACCAAGGCCGCGTGGAATGGTGCAGCTGCTCGGGTGGCCAGGCCTGGTGCGAAGGCACCCGCCACACAGGTGCGCCAGGGTCGGGGATGGTCTGGGTGCTTTGGGGGGCCATGTCACTGAACCCCAGGTGGGTGTCCCCATCCCCACCTGCGCTTGCCTGAGATCACCCAGCTACAAGCGCACTAGGGATGGACCCGGCCCTGACCACACCCTTGTGGGACACCTCGAGGGCCTGTCCCAGCTCCTGACCCTCCCCCCAGCCTGCCTGAGCAGCCCATGCCTGAACGGGGGCACCTGCCACCTGATCGTGGCCACCGGGACCACTGTCTGCGCCTGCCCGCCGGGCTTTGCCGGGCGGCTCTGCAACATTGGTGAGTGGGTCCACCATGGCCGGGTGCCCGGGGTGTCAGGGTGGACTCGACTGCAGGCTGGCCTCACTGCCTGGCGTGTACCCACAGTGCCCGCTGAGCGCTGCTTCTTGGGGAACGGCACTGGGTACCGTGGTGTGGCCACCACCTCGGCCTCAGGCCTCGGCTGCCTGGCCTGGAACTCCGACCTGCTCTACCAGGAACTGCACGTGGACTCGGTGGGGGTCGCGGCCCTGCTCGGCCTGGGCCCCCACGCCTACTGCCGGTCAGCACCCCAGGCCGTTCTGGGCTGCCTCACGCAGAGCAGGCAGGGGCTGCCCCGGGAAGCTGCCCAGCGGGAGGGCAGGGGGCCTGAGAAGGCGGAGGTCTGCCCCGCTGTTGGGAGCCCCTTGCTGGGTGTCTTGGTGGCCTCCATCCCCACCCCAGGGGACAGTGTGACTCCCCCAGTCCTCTCCCACCCTCTCTGGGGGACAGCGAGACTCCCGCCCGCCCGCACCTCCCGCACACTGCAGGAACCCGGACAAGGACGAGCGGCCCTGGTGCTACGTGGTGAAGGACAACGCGCTCTCCTGGGAGTACTGCCACCTGGCGGCCTGCGGTGCGAGGCTGGCGTGGGTTGGGACGGCCCTGCCTCGGGCCCACAGCAGTCACACTGAGGGTTTCCCTGTGATCGCCTTCCTCACCCCTACTCCT